AGGTGTAAACCTATTAAATGTATAAGTAAACACATTTAGTCAAATAAAGTGACAGACTAGGCCTGATCAGGTGGCCTGGTCCTCCTCGCTGAGGAAAGACCCTCAGTCCTCTCCGGCCAAACCAACAGACAGGACGTCCATCACACGGAGGTTTCTCCCTGAAGTCTCTGCAGCTCTCTGGACACCATGCTGTCTCAATCCGTCTACACTCCACACTGAATATGAGAGGGGAAAAATGAAAATAATAAATGCTTTAGACAATAAGAAATATAAAGTTGACTGTTGAGTTGGTCAGTTTTTTTAGATTGTCAATACTATTACTGTATAACTAATATCTCAGGTTAAGAGGCACCTTCAAATAAAGATTGGTCTTTAAATACATTTTGTCTTTTGAATTGTTTGTCTAAAGTCAAGGATCTAGAACTGGTACTTGTAGTTTTAATGGTACAGTCTGGTTATTATGCTGTTTGGAGGAGGCCTCACAGGTAAGAGCACTAACTAGCTACCATCACATGTACCTTAGCTTGACTTAAATGTATTAAAACGTATAATTAAGTGATGGCAAAATATAAATAACTAATGTCATGCAAACATATTAATATTTGCTTGATTCCCGTGTTGAATTTAGCACATTGCATACAAACGTTAAGGGATTTTAAGATTCTGAAGTATTATGCTAAAAACTCAATAACTTAGATTATTATTTATAGTTTTGCTGAATAGTTTCATGTCCGCTTACCTAAGAAACGTAAAATGTGACGGCAGTGTGCAGATGGTGAGCATGTTAGCTTAGCTTGGTAGCTTCAGCTGGCTCTGGAACTTCCAGCCCGGTGGCAGCAGGTCCCGCCTCAGCTCCGCCTCTTTGCCCTTATTTGGAGCAGGCGGGAGTGGAACTCTGACGTCACTGTTGAGCAATTAGTGGCCGACTCCGCCTACTAAGGGCTTCTCGGCAACTCTGCAGAATCCTATGGGTGACGTCACGGACCCTACGTCCATTTATATATACAGTCTATGTTTAAGACTAAATTATTTGTCTGTTCCTTATTCTTTCAATTTAAATATTTAAAATAAATGTATTGTTATTTATTCTGCCAAGTTATTTATGTTTTTGTTTTTTACATCAGTAAGAATGAAGCGTGTGAATTTACTCCAGGTGACTGATTCTAAAATGTAGGGGTGCATTTCACATCAACAAAACAGTACAAAGAAAGTGTTCTTTCTCAATAGAACAATCAGTGGTTCAAGTTAGTATATTCCTTAGTGTAACATATCCACTAGTTGCAAAGCTTAAACATTTTTTTTTTTTTTTTATTTTAAGGGAAAGGATGTTTTCACTACTCAGTTTGTCAACTATGTTACGGACAAACTTGATGTCATTACAATCATTTGATTAAGTCCTGCACTTCAAGTAAAATCAAATTTGAAAGGCTCTTGAGTCTATTCTACCATATATCCAAAGATTTTTTAAAGTTTAAAAAATAATTGTATTAAAGTTTTGTTTTTTCATGTGATATGTTCAGCACTGTCATTAAGTTTAGGGATATTTTGTATTATAAAACTACCATACAGGTCATTTTGATAGTTTTAAGAGATGTCCTGTAAAACTCCAACCTGTGTAGATATACATTATACTATAAAGGATATCAGAAGCACTATTTTAGATATTTTAAATTTGAAAAAATGAGGTGCAACATAGTTGACAATGAAAGTCAAACATTTGACGCAAATAACATAGTTGACTGGACACATTATTAACCATCAGCACTATGTTCATTTCAAGGCAGAAGTGAACAATTCCATTGATAATGATGTGTAATGACGTCTACATGTCATACAAATTGTCAACTAGGTTACCTGTCAACTAAGTTACTACAGTTATTACAGTACTGGGTAACCTAGTTGACAATTTCCCTATTTTGACCCATCATTTCAATGGTAGGCCTTGCCTGGATGACCACATGTCATTTTCTTGAACAGGTTAACATCACATTTGAACATATAATTGAATTAAAATCATTAAACAATTGTAAACCATAACAATGTATGTAACATTGTTGATGGTTAATTAATATACTCATTGACAATGTGCTATTATACATAAAATATTGTAAAAAATTAGAGGTCAATCACCACAGTGTGTTCAAAATGTCTGCCAAAGAGGAACATGGCATCATGTGATGCTGGTGACATGGTATTGGGACAAACCATGTTTGAGTTAAAGGGGGGAGTTCTGTTAGTAACATATAGTTGACAGAACTTTTGCGGACATTCATATATTAAGATATTTAAGTTATTTAAAGGAGGAAATCAATTCAAAAGATGTTATTATTCTTTAGTATTTAGACTTTTGAAATAAATGAATACTTTTTTTTATTTACTTTAATGGTTTTTATTCATTATTTTGAAACCAAGACACCCTCAACTGAAAAACGGACATAGCAAAAACTGACAATTTAAGAACATCATGACACATTTCAAGCTAAATAAAGCATAGGATGCACATAATGTTTGTGTGATATTATAACATGCTTTCCAATAATAGGCAAAATATGATATTTTTGAAGAAAATAGTTAGAATAATTATAATTATCATCAATGGACATCAATGGACATGGAATGTACCCTAAATTGTAGAATCACTCTGTAACTAAAGTCTTATTTAAGTTTTGATTATATTTCAGACAGTGGTGTAAAGTAACTAAGTATATTTACTCAAGTACTGTACTCAAGTTCAATTTTGAGATACATGTATTTCCATTTTACTTTACTTTGTACTTGTACTCCACTACAGTTCAGGGGTAAATGTGGTTTTACTCCACTACATGTATTTAATACCTTTAGTTACTTTACAGATCTGGATGAATGATGTGAAATATAATCAAGTCTTAAAGGTCCCATGTCATGGTCATTTCTACTGATCATGATTCAATTGTTGAGGTCTACTAGAATAGATGTACATTGTCAATGTTCCAAACTCACATTGGTTTCTCATACAGCATCTCTGTATAGTATGTGTATTCACTCTCTGTCCTAAACGGCTTGTTGGAGCTCCTGCCCCCCCCCCCCTTCCCTGTGAGCCCACTGTGCTCTGATTGGTCAGCTCGCCCACTCTGTTCTGATGAGTCCACCACCGTTACAGCGGAACATCAGTGATTATGTGTTACAATGGCGTTTGTTAGCAACCAGAAAATGACACCAGTAATGACAAACAGATGAGAATGCTGCGTGGGGTCTGGGTGCCGTGTTGGCGGGACGTTGCGCGGCTCGCTGCTGTGAGGAGCGGACAGTGTGAGCTGGGTTGGTGTCATTTCCTGCTTGCTGTGAGACAGCAAGACAACCCGAATGGACACGGGAAGGGGGGGGTGCTGAGGGGGCTGCAGCACCCCCATCTGCGAGGCTCCACTAGCACCCGCTCCACTAGCACTCCACTAGCACCCGCAGAAGCTACAGGGAGTCCCAGCAGCTTCTACTGAAGCCAGTCCCCAACTCCGGGGACTTCCGGCCGGGGACTTCGGGTGGCAGTATACGCCGTGAAGTTGTTTGCGGCCTGCCAGGAAACCCAAAGCAGAAGAAGAAGTGACGTCAGCGGCTTCATTTGCCTAATCCTCCCTCAGGGACTTATTCCGGTGTGAACGTGATCTGCTCTTCTGATGAACTAAGTTCTCATGAACTAAGTAAGGCAAAGTACTTGGTGTGAAAGCGCCTATTGGGTCCATTTGGGTATGGTCACGTCACTGTACCCAGGAAGAAAAAGAGAAATCTCCAACGAGGCATTCAGGGGCAGCATAGACAGGTCTTTTCTGTGTTAGAGTTTTACTCGCTACAGGGTGTACTTTGAGGGTTTGTGACTCTGCAGACCGTTTACATGAATAAAAAGCTACATAACACACAAGGGGACGGGTAATAACCGGAAAAGCATGACATGGGACCTTTAAATCAGACTTTAGTTCCACCTGGAGTAAATCCACAAGCTACCCTGCAGTATACAAAGTCATTCAAACTAGCTGCACCTTTACCAGCTTTGAGAACACTTTCATGATCAATCATTATAAAACATATCATATATATTATTCTGAAATGGACCAATCTGCACAACGACTACTTTTACTGTCGCTACTTTCACTATATTTTGATGAGAATACTTTTCTACTTTTACTTGAGTAACATTTTGAATGCAGTACTTGTGTTGCATTCCTACACTCTGGTACTTCTACTTTTACTCAAGTACAAGATCTGAGTACTTCTACTTTTACTCAAGAACAAGACCTGAGTACTTCTACTTTTACTAAAGTACAAGATCTGAGTACTTCTACTTTTACTCAAGTACAGGATCTGAGTACTTCTCCCACATCTGATTTTACATTACAAATCAAGTACTTGAGTATATCTACTTAGTTAGATATACACCTTATCACCTGAATCTCCTCCTAGAGCACCATTGAGTTCTTTGTAACCAAATCTCTCTCAGAGGGTCGTGGGGAGGGGCTCCTTATTTTCATCTAAAGTAACAGATAGAGATTCAGCTCTTTGGAAACAGGGCTGAAACAGAGGGGATTATGGGTAATGCTGCAATGATCTGTTTGGTGTTTCAGCCAATCAGAGACAGGTTCTGTATATATCTGAGACCTGGGATATATTGATGAAAGACAGTATAATAGGGGACCTTTAATACAAATGCAATACATAATTTTAACTTGACATTTAAAATTCATTATGAGTGAAAATAATAATATTAAGACTCACTTCTAGCAGTTTCAACATCTTTTATTTGACACTTGAGCTTACTTGTCTTTCGTAAGCTTTGATAGTTCTGGGGGCAGGACACCAGGATTATGAACATTTATTTAAGAATGTTTTTTTGTGTGGAAATAAATTGCAATCCTTCTACGCAACCCCTGCAATCCCCTTAAGTACCACTTGGGGTCCCTGTACCCCCCGTTGGGAACCACTTAGGGTTGTGAGGAGCTAAATAATAAAAAATATAGCTGAAAGAGAACAAGACATATCCAACAACATCTTTTATTATCACACCTCAATCATATTACATTTAATAATCAAGCACTGTTGACTGTTGTTAGACTTTTGGTCAAATTTCAATTTAATTATTTACTGGCTTTTTGTATTATATGTTCAACAATAAGCAAAAAAAGAAGACACATACAGTAAATGCATCACATTAAGATCAACAAGTTTAATATCCACAAACTGCAAACATGAAGCTGCAACGTCTGTGCTGTCCTTTGATCAGGATGAGCATCACAGGAACAAGCTTTAACCTACTGAAGACAAATAAAACCTTCAATTTAATCATGTGAATCAAGACAGCATTTGTGTTACCGCAAACATCTTCAAGACAAGTTACATAACTGTGAAAGTCCAAAACCTTGTCTTGAAACTTAAATGTATGGCATATAATCAAAATGTATTATACAAATATATTAATAATTGATTAATAAAAATAAGAGAACAAAAGTGAGTGGTAACCGTTATAGGCACCAATACTCCAGCGGACAGAGGTCAATCAATGACTGTGTGTGTCAGATAAGAAGCAGTTTTCCATAATGCAGTTATTGGTGCAAAAACTAAATACAATTAAATGATGCCACAAGCTGGGCAACATTTACTTTACCATTGGTAATGTTAGCATCATAAAAACACCAAATGTGCACATCAATTGTAATGTACTAATGGGTCATACCATGGCTCAACTGTACTTTTAACCCATTTTACATCCACGCCAACCTCACAGTAATGCTAAGATGGCTGCAGACCTAGTCAGTTTTCCCTATTCCAAAACAATTTAGAAGTCTTCTAAGGCGACCTTTCTTTACTTTCCTCCCCTGATCTTCTTGGGATCGTTTCTCCTCTGTTTGTGAGAGATTTGGCTGTTTGGCTAATTTTGAGATGATTGTTGCTTTGACCCTCATCTCCTCCAAAGACCGAACACGTGCCTGGTAACCCACTTTGGCCTCAGCCTTTTCTACACAACACGGGTAGTGTTAAATAATGGAACAGTTCAGGCACCACGAAGCTCTCTCTCCTTTCTTTTTGACTGGCTTAATAACATCCACTTCAATCACAACGTCTTTTAGAACCTCTTGGGTCATGAGCAATCTTTTGGTTGTCAGTTTAATCAAAGCAGTGAAGAACTTCTCCATACTTTTGATGCCCATGTTCCAAAACATTTCGTCAAATTTAACATCATCCTCATCATCCTCATCAGAATTCTCATCACAGGCCCGATCACTGCTGCTTCTGTTATCTGCAAACAACGCTGAGTTGTTGAATCTGAAGTGAACTGGAAGCCCTAGCTCATTTTTTGGACATGGAACCCTAGAGTTGTTTATTGCCTCAAGAACAGGTGGCTGCTTGCCATCTGCAAAGGTGACCAGAATCTGAATATTCTCTGCCACGTCTTTGCCAAAGATGGAGAGCACAGAGTCAAACACATATCGTTGTGTGGCTGTTAGTCGGGCAAGAGAGGCCTGGGTGACAAAACACACAGCATCAATCTCACTGACTCCATTCACAGAAGTGAAAAGCCTCCTGATCTGTTCTGTGATCTCCTTGTCTCTTCCTATTCCTCTTGTATCTCCAAAGCCTGGAGTATCAACAACGGTCAGAGAGAAAGGGATTTTAAAGCCCTCTTGGTGGTTGATTTTGTACACAGTGACTTCAGGGGTCTGGCTCTCAGCTTGAGATCTCGACTGATCCTCGTCAACTAATTTGAATCTGAAATCGTCCTCCCACTCTACACCAACGATGTAGTTGATGAGTCCATTGATCAGAGTGGACTTTCCAGCCCCGGTTGCGCCCAGAAGCATGATAGTGCAATTTTGCCTCATGCTTTCTTTGCCAAAGGTGTACCCTCTGCATCCTTTGACCTTGATATCTTCTTCTGTCAGAGGCAGTTTGTAAACTGAGGGAGATTCAGAATTGATCCGTTTGCTTTTACTTTTGAGGAATTCTGTGAGACGTGCAGGTTTTGTTGTGCTGACATTAACAGCGATGCTTTCTTTGCTTCTTCCAGCTGCACCACGATCAGACCTGACCCTGACAGCAGATTCTGTCTCCTTCTTCTGAAGTCCTGAAATGATCGCCTTCTCAGCTCCCGCCATCATTTGCTCCCAGTGGAGATCTTCCTCTTTCACCTGTTGGTCTAGAGAAAACAGAAAATATGTTTAGTATAGTTTGTTTGGTTTTCTCCTGTGAATCTGCTTGTGCAAACTTCCCTGCTTTGGGACGCCCCCGGGCAGTCCAGAGACAGTTACCGAATGCACCCCTCATACTGTGATGTCATTCGTCACTCGCAGCGCGCTACCGATCATAAACAGACTTTCGGCGAGTGAACGGGTCGTTGTGTGTTCCGCGGTTGTGCGTGTATGAATCCGTAAGTGTTGATAATTTTCGTTAATATAGTTTACTGTACTATGGGAGCAGTGGCGGCGCCAGGGTATTACTGGGGTAGGCTACAGCCATTCCAAGAAATGGCTTAGCCCCACCTTAGCCCCATCATGAACAATTATGTTAAAGTAAGCAAATTAAATTAAATAATAAGCAAAATGCTAAATGTTGACAACACGGCTTGCGAAAATATACGGGTCGTGTCCACAACACACAAACTGATCCTGCTGTAACAACAAGTGCGCGTTACTGATGCAATATGGTTGAGACCATTCGGGCTTATGCTAGAAGAGGGGTGGAAGGAATAGTCCAAGTAGTGGGGGAGTTTTATACACTAAAGGTGTGGAAATTCTCTGGTGTTATAATATCAGCGCGGCCGCGGTCAGATCAAAATGCCTCCGAATGCAATTTGAATAGACCGACAGGAAATCAGAGCAACAAAACGTTGGGTCTGCGTCATGCATTACTGATTGAGATCAATCGGAACCGCCATTCAGTATCCCCATTGGATCTTCAACGTGTACTATCATACGTCACGTTCACAGTGATCCCTTTTTATTTACTACAAGACAAATGTGCCGTTTTATTTCATACAGTTCCATTTTGATTGAGACAGGGAAATAATCTAAACCTCACGCGTGGCGTTTCACTGTCAAGGGGGCGATATAGCGTGTATGTAATTACATTGCAAATACTGATTTGAGCCCCACCACTGTATGGGTTAGCCCTACCATAGATTACCCAACAAAAATACTCTGGCGACGCCACTGTATGAGATAGTGATTTTTGTATTTTATTTGATTAGATTTATTTCGAAAGTGTAAAACAATAATACAAACATTTAACATGAAAATTATTACACAATACAAAATTAAGTAGTGTAAAATTGATACACAAAAATATTACTGATTCTAAGTTATGTATAAATAAATGATCTACTTAGTTACATGTCCGAAAAGGGGTGGGAAGAAATGTACACTTATTTAATCCCACCCCTTCTCCCAAAAACTAAATTATTAACATATATATTTATATATATATATTTACATTTTTGTTTTCTTAAAGAAATCCATTTCTTTATTGAAAAAACAAACAAACAAAACAAAAACATAAAACAACAAACAAATAAGCAGATAAATAAACTAACAAATAAACTAACAAATACATAAAAGAGGTAAATTATATTCAAGAAAAGATCAAATAACAAACCAAATAAATAAATTGCAAACACCCAGTTATGATTAAACAACGTCATCCCTGTCTCTTGTTAAAATCGTGTCTTTATACCTTTTTTTAAACAGTTTTAAGTTCGGACATCCCTTGAGCTCCTCATTCAAACTGTTCCAGAGCTTCACCCCACAAACAGAAACACAAAAACTTCGCTTTGTTGTGCGCATCCTAACATTTGTGAATTGGAATAATCCCCTTAAAGATGGGGTAGGTAATTTACTTCAGAAACACTTTTTCTTATATTCCATGGAATGCTCTTAACATCCCGATAGCAATGAATATATTAAGTGCTTTGACAATAAATACCTTACCTACCCTACCTTTAAGTTATAATGCCCTTATCTTTTAGTGACATTTTTGCTTTAAACATTAATTGGGCGATTTGAAATTCAACTATATCTGACCATTTGAATAAGTTTAACTCTGAGAATAGTGGCTTTGTATGTTCCCTATCGCCAACATTTTTTATGATTCTTATTGCCCTTTTTTGGAGTATAAATAGTGAGTGTGTCGTAGTTTTGTAATTACTGTCCCCAAACCTCTGCACATAAACTTAAATAAGGTAAAACCAACGAACAGTAAAGGATGAAGAGAGAATTTTGTCTTGTTCAATAATGCGATGCTTCTTGAAACCTTGGAATGAATATTTTGTATGTGTGGTTTCCAGTTTAGTTTTTCATCTATTGTTATCCCAAGGAATTTAATTTAATTTCTCTCTTAATATTTATCCCATCTATCTTAATTAGGGATGCTCCGATCGATCTCCCTCCCTCCCTCCCGCTCTCTGACATCTCTCCCCTGAACCAGGCGCGCCGGATTCATTTTAGAAGTGGGGGGGCCAAAAAAGTGCGTGTGTATGGCCCAATCCCAAACCACGCCCTACACACTCCCCCTCCGTGACGGAGTGAACTCCGTGGAGTGACACATGAGGCTCCCTCCTGTCAGATGGAGGGAGACAGCGGCAAGCTTTGGGACGGCCTCCCCTCTCTCCGGCAGAAACAGGAAATGCCGTAACTGTATGTAACAACGGTTTCAAATCAGCTTCTCTTTAACAAAAAATGTAAATTAATAACTCAAATAAAACTCCAAACATCTTTAATTGTGTTACTTTTTTGTAAAGCTCTTTTAGTTTTAAACCTGATGTTTATAAGCTTCTTAGTTTTTGCAACAGTCTGTAAATATACACAACTTTATAATAAAATGCACACATTTACCTTTTTCTAGACTAAACATAGGTATGATCCTAAGTTAAAAACATTATCATGAGGTTGTTAACATCGCAGTTTATCAGTGGGTTATTGATTCTGCGTCAGTCTTAGGACAGTCATACATTGCTATGAAGTCTTCATGGACAACATAATCAGCTGATACCCATCGTACAGTCAGAGACAACTGTTCATGGAGGCTTGGGCACTTTTTCCAGTTATTAACTCCGGTATTAACAAAGCTATCATCTCCACATTTTGAGAAAGTGACAAGCCGTTTGACAGCAAATCTGCATATTTCACAGAAGGCCCGTTTAGTGGTTTTGTAAATAATTAACCACTCTCTGTTTTTGTACCATTCTGCGTTGAAGTACCTTTCTCTTTGCCCAGACGATCTAGCGGTCTCCTCCAAATATTAAGCAAAATATGTCACATTATATAATGACTGTCACCGAGTCATCATTTTGAGAAAAAGGCCTTTAAAGTTTCCTCTTCTCTGGAAGCGGAGCAAATGATCAAAGTAGTAACGGAGGGAAGATATTTTCGTTTGGATTACTGGTCTGGGGGAAGCCCGCGAGTGTGTGTGTATACGTGTGTGTGTATGTGTATTTTTGCGTTTGTGTGTGTATTGTGTTTGTTTCCCGGGGAAAACACTCACGAGAAACACCGGCTGTTGTTATGCTTGCTGTGACGTTACATTACTCCGTTCTCCGCTTGTAATTATGCCGTCACAAGCTTCAAAGTTGTATTTATCATCTGAATTTGCCGAAACAAGTTTAGTATTCTGAAAGCCAAGACTTTGTTTATTTGAAATCAGATACAAACAAACTAACGGACCCTGCCGTGTTATCTATGATTACTATACGCCTTACATTCATAATTTCAGCAGAGGGAGGGGAAGCGGCATGTGGAACAGCAGAGTGGCGAGTGAGAGCTGTCATCTTCCCTTTACAAGCTTAAAAAATGCCTGTAGCTAATGAGATTGAATATAACAATAACAAATAACAAAATATACACAGCTAGATCAGATCGCGTTTTAGATGCGACTTTAGAGTAGAGGGGAATTATTGAAACGGGATTTGTACAGTGTTCCACGGCATCCACCGCTGCAAAAATGTAGGGCAGGGCTCAAAAGTGGGGGGGCCAATGGCCCCCTGGCCCCCCCGCTTCCGGCGCCCTTGCCCTGAACTCTCCACCCTGCCTCCGACCTTTCTCCCCTGCCCCAAATGGTCCTGGACCACACACACACACACACACACACACACACACACACACACACACACACACACACACACACCCAACCAACCAACCTCCCTCATCCAGCACCAGTCACTTTTCTGCCCATCTCCGCTGCTACTGCACTGAAACTGTAATTTGAACACTTAAATATATTATTAACATTTTAAACTGTATACCCCAGTTATCTAGGCTCTTTGTTTTGTTTAATGTATACCATGTTTATCTAGGCCCTTTTTGTTTTTTGTTTGATGTATATATGTCACACTGTAGGACTGCGGGAAACGATATTTCGATATTTCTGGATGTACAACATGTAGAATTCTTGACAATAAAGCTGACTTTGACTTTGACTTTACATGTTTGAGCACCTCTATGAAACGTCAAGCTACCCCACAGCACCCTCAAAAGAAAATCTCTGGCGTGGCCACTGGCCGCGGCACATGACGGTTTTGTGTGCCCTCCCATGAAAATCATATGCCCTCTCTGTAGATTTGTTCTGGTGCCAGGTCTGATTCTTCACTATCGGGTCACTCATTACTGGATCAGTGAGCTGCATGAGACTGATACTGACAGGCTGTCAGGAGAGAGAGAGAGAGGGAGAGAGGAAAAGAGAGCACTTCCGCTCATTTCTCCCGTGTTATTCTCCAAAGTTAATGTAAACTTGAATAATGTATTTCATTTGAATGTAATAATTATGTTGGTTGTTGTTTGTGGAAGCGTCAGGGAATGAGCCCCATTAACTGAGTTTTAATCATCACTTTAAATGGAAGATCCCCACCCACTCGATCGGATCGGTGATCGGTATCGGCCGATACTGATTCCGGCGATCGGTGATCGGTCCCAAAATTGGCGATCGGAGCATCCTTAATCTTAACAGTTGCTTTTGTATTTATATTGTTATTTTCAAATAATATTATTGTTGTTTTATCCAAATTCAATGATAATTTATTAATGTTGAGCCATAACTTTAGTTTGCATATTTCTGCTGTGATCTCTTCCAATAATAGCTATAAATTATCCCTACAACAAAATATATTTGTGTCATCAGCAAACAAAACTAATGTGAGTATTCTCGATCAACCCTGTCTCCTACAAATTACGTTCCCACAGAACTAAACTGCATTCTCAATTACGTTTAGCTAGAAACTTATTTTCTCCCACACGTTACGTTTGTTATGAACGTATCTCAAATACGTTTATTTTCTACATATCTTCTAGAAACATATTTTCTCCCACGTTACGTTTGTTACGAACGTATCTTAAATACGTTTATTTTCTACATATCTTCTAGAAACATATTTTCTCCCACGTTACGTTTGTTATGAACGTATCTTAAATACGTTTATTTTCTACATATCTTTGCCATTTATTGTCTTGCTTATAATAATGATAATAGTCATTTATAAATATCATTTTAGAGCACACATTTGAAATCGACGATCGGGCTCGATATCCTATGGTTAAATTAAAATCAGTAGACGAGGCTGTAATTTCGCCAGCTGCGAGGCAGAAAATAATAGTTTTAACATGCCAAAAAGCTGCTTTGTCGTTTATTGCACCTCAAACATTAAAACAAATCCAGAGTTACGTGTTTCTGTACTTCCTCTAAGAAGAAAGGACAGTTTAGAGCTCTGTGGCTTCAGGCTTGATCGCCGTTCAAATGACAGCTGGTTTCCCCAAAAGTGGGCGGGGCTGTAAAGTGACGTAGGAAAGATCCTCAGCTCGCTGATTGGATGTTTTAGCCGCAATGCACGTCGGGATATGGTGTTAATGCGATATGATATCCGAAAAAAAATTCAGAGTTTAGGATGGCCGAAGACACTACACTACCCATAATCCCCAGCTATCGTTTGGGACTACAAGGTTCAAGGTTCAAGGTTCTTTATTGTCAAACTGACATAGCTACAGAGTAATTATGCAGTTGAAAATCTTATGTCACAGGCTTCTCCAACAATGCAACATAATAACATAACATAATAACAATAAGAGCATGAGCAATACAAAAATAATAATAGTTATAAAAATGAAATAAAGTTATGATGTGGAATAGTGCAGTACGAGTCTATATACAAGTTATTGGAATGATATATATATATTAGGTATTAGATACATACTACTGAGTAGCAGATGAATGTTTGATGTTGTTTCAACAGTTCATTTTTTTAACAGTCTCACTGCCCGCGGGAAGAAACTGTCTCCGAATCTTCTTGTCCTTGCCAGGATGCTGCGGTAACGTCTGCCAGACGGCAACAGAAAGAACAGTTTGTGGCTGGGGTGATGGGGGTCTTTGATAATCCGTAGTGATTACAGTCCCGTTGACAAACCCCGTGATTAATCTTCAAGCTCTGGGATTGGATGTTGGAGTGGCAGTGCGCCAAGGTTACACCGAGCGCCAAACAGCTCTTTGAAATGGAACGAAACCACGGCAGACTTTCCAAAACTGGACTCGAACGCCCCCCCCAGAACTACACATGCAGGCTATTGTGTTTTGCAACATGTTCTCTATGGCACGTCTCTACTGGGAATTGTAGTTTTAAAAGACGTTTTCGTTTTTCCCACAATTAGAAGTTGCCAGTATTAAACTGTGTACAGCCCTGGAGGTTTAGGGGATAGGAAACACATTGGTGTGTACAAATGTAAAACATGTAATTAATAAATGGGTGAAAATCGCTTGTGTCCATAATGGGAAGCATTAATATATACCCACATGCCAGCTCATTGTTACTTTGTAATTCTACTCCACTACAATTCAGAGGTTAACCTGGTATTTTTACTCCACTACATTTATTTGAGTTACTTTGCAGATTCTGATTAATGATGTGAAATATAAACAACCCTTAAAGCAGACTTTAGTTACACCTGAGTAAAATTCAGGGAAAGGTGATTGTCAAGTGCCAACAATCAGACGAGATATTTGATAGTTGCTGCTTGAGAAGACTAAACATTTATCTGCAGATCTCTATAAAGTATATTCATTACTCGTTATTCTCTACTAATAGTTAATTAAAGACTGTATATAATAGCTATTTTGCACATCCCTTTCAAGATGTTCTAAGGTTTATTGAAATATCATATACACAACTATGTTGAAGTTATGCAATTAATGAAAAACTTGGGTCACAGGTTCCTCAACAGTGCATTACAAGACATCTATCAATATGTGTGTATACCTCCACCATTAAACTGTCAAATTCTGCACATTTCTTATACTATCTACATACATAAGAGTATAATTAATGTGTATAATATCAGTTAAAATAAGTGCTTCAACACAGTTAACATTGCAGGAAAGCAATATATTAGACGTTAAGTACTTTGTCAGGCTTAATATTTATCTGTAGATAGATACCCCCAAAGCTTTTTTCTTATTTGAAAGAAAACCTAAAGCATTCTTTAATGTGTTAATAAAGGTTAATTAGTTTGTCTGTTTTGCACATCCTCCTATTAAAATCTTTGTACATCCGGCACTAAACTGTTTTATTGTAGAGATCACTTACAGTATCTTCTTGATTTTTTATATTCTATATTTCTATCATTGACCTTCTACTTTCCCCCTATGAAAGTATGTACTCTTAATATTTTTTTCATCAAATAACATTATTCAACAAAAATAACATTATTCAACAAAAATAATTAAATAACGTGCTTTAACCACTAGGCGGTGCACACAAGGTACAGGATCTTTCCTACGTCTGTTTCCGGTATTGTTCCTGTAATGAGAGTTCACATTTATGCTACATTGAAGGGTGAAATTGACTACACATCTTCAGAAACATAATTTGCTTCAGATATAACTCATAGCAATATTGTAACAAAAGCCAACTGCATTAAAAACCCAGTTAACAAACACTAGGTAAAGTATTTTTCCTTCAGTAATGAAGATGTAATTCCAATGTAGACACACCTGGGGTCGCTGTTCAGTCTGTTACGCTGAGCCATGCATTGTCTGGAACGTAAAAGGGACGAAGAAGACAAAGTGAAGTGACGTACTTCCGGTTCAATGTGAAAACATTCCCAGTTAAACAACAGAAACAAATCGCTAAATAAAAAGATAAAACACTGGCATGTAATTTACGTTAGAATAAATAGAATGGTTTGAATAATAAAATCTACGTCACTTTACAGCTCCGCCCACTTTTGGGGAAACCAACGCTGTCATTCACTCAGAGGAAGTTTGAGGTGTTTGAGGTGCAATAAACGACACAGCAGCTTTTTGGCATGTTAAAACTATTATTTTCTGCCTTGCTCATGAGAGTAACAGCTGGCGAAATTACAGCCTCGCCTACTGATTTTAATTTAACCATAGGAAATCGAGCCCGATCGTCGATTTCAAATGTGTGCTCTAAAATGATATATATAAATGACTATTATCATTATTATAAGCAAGACAATAAATGGCAAAGATATGTAGAAAATAAACGTATTTGAGATACGTTCAAAACAAACGTAACGTGGGAGAAAATACGTTTCTAGCTAAACGTAATTGAGAATGCAGTTTAGTTCTGTGGGAACGTAATTTTTAGGAGACAGGGTTGTCTCGATACATTGCATATTTCGTTAATATATAATAGAAATAGTCATAGTGTTTTGCCGTAAGTGTGACTACCTGTTAATTATCAGTAGTTTCGCGTTCTGTCTGTTGTGACTCTTAATGTAATTATATTTTTGTAAATACGATCGTGATATCTATCCAGTATTGTGACATTGCGGTGAGTTGTGTAAAACTTTATGTCTCTGTCAGCCGCCATTACCACGTGTTAAAACCAAGCCCCCAGGAAGTGCACCAGACTCTGTGCCATACATTTGTACTGTCCAAACGGCGGTAGGCCTACTACAAGTCTGTGACGTCACCCGGCCCAGAAATACTTTTCCCCATTGACTAACATGGGGAAAGAGATGTCTGTAAATCAGCGATTTACGTCTGTAAATCAGTAAATCCTCTTGGGGGCATTTCGGGTATTGTTTTTATACCAAGCAGCTGACTGTTTCAGCGTTTATGTGTACTTACTGTCCCTATCAGGAAATGGTATCCTAATTATTTAGGATTGCATTATCGTCTCTTAGAACAGCTTAACTAATTGGATCTACTTTGTAATCTATATTTTCCTAGATAACCACAACAAAAGAACATACTGTACTGACCAAATTCCTGTGGAGTAAATAAAGTTGGTTAACGACACCCCCTTGATTGCTGCAGTCTTTTTGACTGAAGATTTAGGCCAGACTTGTGTACACCAGCAGTCTTTATTCATACAATTTCACACTGCTGCTTTCCAAACTGTTAAACATCGGTGTTATTGTATAGTTTGTACTAAAGACAAGCTCCTCTGAAGGCAAAAGTTACTTAAAATATGTTGTTTTTGGTTGAAACCTTAGAATTCTAATTTGAATAGTTTGAATGTGTTCCAGTTTGAAGACTGTTTGCCTGTTGATTGAAAATCTTCTAAAACATTCTGGATAAACTACTGCCAGTCTAAACTCAATCTAAAACTATTGTCTTGTCTATCTTTTATGAAAAGTTCATTTTAACAACCCATTTGTTTCTTTTATGTTCATTGTCATTATTTGCTGGACTCCTTAAACAAATAAATTCATACATGCAACCAATTCACCAATTTTGTATCAACTGTTTTTACATCAGAGTGGTTTGAATTGAACTGAGCCGATTGCTTCATCTGGTTATGAATAACTTTACTTTTGCTGTCTTTTTTTTTTAAATAGGTGGATCAGGAGAAAAAGATAGAGAATCTGTTTTGCTGAAACCTTTTGCTTAATTTAAACAAATTTATTATATTTGTTCTTTTCAACAAAAAGTTATGTTGAAAAGACATACAAAAGCGCATTTGCATAATATGTAACCTTTAAATGTAACATCTAGTCTTTGGATAAACTCCTCCTGATTACACCGTTAAGATACACAGCAAACTGCATGCAAAAGCACATTAACAACAACATGAAATGCACTTACTGTAGAGATGTGTGTGATCCTCTGAGGCAGTGCTGTAGTTTCACAGGTTTTATTGTCTCTGAGAGAGAAACGCCCCTAGATCTTTATTCATTAGCAGGAGGCGGCACTGAGGAGAACCGGGATGATTTCCTAGAAATGACTTGACCTGCAGAATAAACAAATACGTCTACAACATCTGTATGTGTTTGTGATAAGGTAAAATGTAACAGGATTTAAAAAAAGACCATTTTATTGTAGAAAGCAGTTCCAGTAAAACGTTCTCAATATTATCTTCAGTGTCCTAGCATGAAGTGCGAGGAAACCTATCGTTTTTGCACGGATTATTATTAGGCCCCCATGCGAGAGTGCTCAGACACGGTTGGGGTACAAGCACTCGCGTATTCGGGCCCTAACAATAATTGTGCCCTAATAATAATAATCGTGCATTTAATGTTGTTGTTAATGTGCTTTTGCATGCAGTTTGCTGTGTATCTTAACTGTGTAATCAGGAGTAGTTTATCCAAAGACTAGATGTCACATTTAAAAGTCAGATATTATGCAAATGCACTTTTGTATGTCTTTTGTATGTCACAACTTTTTTTCTATTTAAAAAAAAGGCAGCAAAAGTAAAGTTATTGATAACCAGATGAAGCAATCGGCTCAGTTCAATTCAAACCACTCTGATGTAAAAACAGTTGATACAAAATTGGTGAATAGGTTGCATGTATTAATTGTTTTTTTAAGGAGTCTAGCAAATAATGACAATGAACATAAAAGAAACAAATGGGTTTTTATTTAGGTATTTTTTTACTGACCAAAAAACAAGACAAGCTCTTGTTTTTTGGTCAGTAAAAAAATACCTAAATAATTACAAACAGCAATGTAAACAATAGGATACAATTTCCTGATAGGGAAAAGTACACATAGTATAACAGTAAGTACACATAAACGCTGAAACAGTCAGCTGCTTGGTATAAAAACAATACCCGAAATGCCCGCAAGAGGGCTCACTGGACCGCAGAAAGTGTAAGTGTTTTAACACGTGATAATGGTGGCTGACGGAGTCATAAAGTTTGACACAGCTCACTGCAATGTCACAATACTGGATAGATATGACGATAGTAAATATAAAAAGTTCCAAATGTATCAAAATATATCAAAAGCTTTCTGTTACATGGAGCACAGGGGATCTTGGAGCTCTTGTCTAAAAACCAACAAGAAGTTGGCCCTTTTTCATTTAGTGTATTTCTTTTGTGTATTTTTTTTGCCATATTTAGGATTTGAAATCAATCTTAAGTGGTCTACCAGCTTGCAACATAAGACAACATTTCTGCTCAAAATATGATCTTGTGCTATATTAAGGTGAGGAGTAACATTTGTTATGCAAACTCTGAGACAAGGACAATTTTCAACTGAATATGTTGTGATTTTAAAGAACTTCATCTGCTGGTAGACATTATTGATTAAACATATGTGAAATAACCTTGGGTGTGCGTGACAACCTTGGGTGTGCGTGACAACCTTGGGTGTGCGTGACCTGAAGAAGTGAACTCTTACCCTTTCGGTTTTCCAGGCCTTTTGTTTTTCTTGTACTCCAGCCAACCTGCCATGTGAGCCCTGAGTTTCACTCACATTTTTTAAATTGCGAAGCTTGTGCGCTTTTGTGGAACGCTGTGTTCACCACTAACAGGAAATACTTATTTAAAGGCTTAAGAATGCTTGGCGTACACATTAACAGGGATCAATACGTCTACTGTTGTGATCATTTGAGTGTTGTGAAAGATCATTTTTTTGAGGGGCCCCTACATAACTTCTAAGAAGCAGCCGTAACTGTACGTTTGACCTACATGCACGATATTCACCCAAAATGTGTTTAACAAGTGGACTTAAAATATGTCTCTTGGGGCTTTTGTCTTGACCTGAAGAAGTGAATTATTTTAACTTCGTTTTTCAAAGCCTTTTTTTTCCGTACTGCTTCCAACCTATCATGTGTGCCCTGAGTTTCACTCACATTTTGTTTTAAATTGTTTATTTTAAAAGCATTTTTTTCAGAGAGATGAGAGAAGAGAGAGAGACAGAGACAGAGAGAGAGAGAGAGAGAGAAAAGAGAGAAGAGAGAGATAGAAAAGAGAGAAGAGAGAGAGAGATATTTGCGAGTTGCATAAGAACTGGTAAGATAGCAGGGCTTCCCACACATAGACTTTACTTGGGCGGGCTGCCCAGGTATATTAACGGGCGCCAAAGTATAATTCGCGAGCGATTTAGGTTTAATTTTTTTTAATCCGTCCGCGAGCACAACGGCATCTGCGAACCCTCGCTCTACCCCTCGCTATCGCGTGAAGGGTCTGTTTTATGCGCTCCGCACAGTAACCCTGCTGCGAGGCACGGGCGAACAGTTCATGAGCGTGCTCACTAGCGTATCCACTGATTTACAGATGTCTCTTTCCCCATGTTAGTCAATGCACTGTAAAAATATTCACCGTGAATTCACAATAAATACCTGGCCAAATTTTGCATGACTTTCACAGTAAGATTCACAGCAATTTACTGTGAATGTCTTCACAGTAATGTATTGTAATTGCACACCCATGATATTACAATACATTGTTGTAAAGGTAAAGCTGTATACTGTAACTTCACAGCTTCAATGACTAAGGAATTACTGTGATATTACAGTATGTTACTGGGGAATTACATCATTTTGTTGTACATGCATTACAACAAGGGCCTGTACTTTTACATTTCTATTGTGAAATCAATGCAGGAGTTGCCTGTAATTTACTGTGAATTTACAATGTGCACTGTGAAAGTAATGCAGATGAGTAGCCAGCAATTTACTGTCAATTTACAATGATAGACATGCATAACGGACCGTCCACACAGCAGTGTTAAAAAAATCTTGGAGGTGGGCATATCTGAAGCTTGGGGATTTTTTGCGAGCAAGGCGACCAACAACCAATCACATGAATCTCCCGCCCCCGATATACAAAGCAAAAAAGCCCGGTTCTTCTCCACTATTGCCAAAATGGATGCCGGTTTTGTAGCAAGGGTAGAAAGTGTAGTAGCAAGGGTGAATTTAGTGTATGCAATGTCTCGCAGGAGGCCTAGTGTGCGTCGCTGTTGGATACATCCAATACTCCGAAAACGTCTGCAACGGGGGGAATACCACGTTCTGGTCCAAGAGCTCCGTCTGGATGACCACCTGTTCCAGCAGTACTTTCGGAGAGAGCCTCAGAGATGGCAGTCTGCAGCTACCACCTGACACCGTCATCCCAGGAGCAGAGCAGCTGGGCCTTCTTCCCCATGTCTTTGTAGGAGATGAGGCTTTTCCGCTGCTGGACAACCTGCTGCGTCCATTCCCTGGACGTCACCTCACCCGTGAAAGGAGGATGTTCAACTACCGCCTCAGCCGGGCCAGGTTGGTGGTTGAATGTGCGTTTGGCATCCTCTCATCCCAGTGGAGAATGTTCAGGCGTGTCATCACCACCAGCCCGGAGGTAACAGAGTTGTGTGTGAAGGCCACCTGTGTGTTGCACAACTTCCTCCGCAGGAACACGATAGGAAGGCGATCACGCACACCTCTTGCCGAGTCCACGGATGAAGCTACTCCAACCCTGTGTGATGCACCGAAGACGGGCTCCAACAATGCCACACGCAGATCCATCCAACTGCGGGAGACCTTCAGCTCCTATTTCAATGAGGAGGGTGCAGTGCCATGGCAGGCAAATGTGGTGTAGGGTCACCATTGTCTCCAAACCAAAAGCTCTTTTGAGAGCTACCCATATTTTCTTTAAAAAGCAAATATTCCAAATGAGCCATTTTAAAATCAAACATTCCTAATAAACATGTTTCTTGAATTGATATTATGATATGACTAACAACCTTTTTCCTTCAGTCCTGTTTTTAGTGATAAACCACTCACAACAGGTTTTCACCTGAACAATTACAGAAGACCGCACATTATATATCGACATACATGAAGCTTTTGGTATGTTGCAACTGACAAACCACATGAACAAGTCAAGACACAGTATAGCCATAACATACTTTAAATAACTTTTATTTATGTAATGTTGTGAGTGAAGTGTGTGATGAGTGTAAAAAGATGTAATGTGGATCAGTATCAGTATCAGTATTTCATTTTCCTCCTGGTCTGCCTCTAATACCACCTTGTATAAGGCAAATCTCACTCTCAACCTCTTCGCTCTCGACATCAGTCTCATGGTGGGCAAGAGACTCCTGAAGAACAACAGGTCCTCCTCCTCCTCCACCACCAATGGCATGGCCAGAATTGGAGCGACGGCAGACAGCAAATTGTGTTCGAAGGAGGACATCTCCTTTGCCCTTTTCCTTTTCCCCCGGAACGAACCACTTGCATCCTCCTGTCCTGTCTCCCCTGCCTCTGCTTGCTGACTTGCTGGCTGACTGGCTGGCTGACTGCCTGGCTGACTGGCTGGCTGACTGGCACCTGGCTGACTGCCACCTGGCTGGCTTTCCTGGCTCTCTTCTCTTACCAGGGTGGATGGAGGCAGGGTTTGCCGGGTGACATTGCTGGACGTCTCGCGGTCAATCATGAATGGGTTTAAAAAACTCATGATTGCCGCGAGACGCCAGGGCTTGTATCCCCCTGAAGACCCTGCACCGCTTCTTTTAGCCTCCTTCTCCTGTTGCTTCTCCTTCCTATATCTGTCCCTCAGTGTCTTCCATTTTTTTTTGCACACTTCCTCTACTAAAATGAAATGAAAGAATACAGTTCATTTCTTTAATTTACAACAATTATTCCTCCATTAATGAAAACCAAATCCCTTTTATCACTGTCAATTGCATAAAAGGTTTTACATGTCATACTTTATCAGAATCAAAATCAGAAACAGGTTTATTGCCAGGTAGGTTCGCACATACTAGGAATTTGACTTGATGTCATGGGGCATATATAAAAAACAAGAAATCTAATATAAAACACAATGTTTTACACCGTAATAAAATACAGTTAAGTTGCAATAAGATAACAATTAAATAAAGCAGTAATTTACATGGAAA